TTTTGCCTCGAACCAGCTGAACGGTGACACGTGGACTGTTATACTGTAAAAACGGTGGGGTAAATTTGGACCGTGGAAAGACGATCGAACGCTATAAATTTTTTTCACTAATGTGGACACCCTGAGCATTGGCTAAAATCAGCCGGCTTGATAAGAGTAGACTTGCACTTTCAGTCTTAGGTCATGCCATCTTCGGGCTGCCACCATGCATTCCAGTTTTGTTTACGGATTCTTTGGTGTAGTGTAAGGGCGCTGGGCGCATGGCGTAGATTTTTTTTAGGGAAGGGCGCATGGCGTAGATTGTACCAGAAACTTTGCGCCGCCCACACCCCCACCCCACCCCACCGTGTAAGGGCGCTGGGCGCATGGCGTAGATTTTTTTTTGAGGGAAGGGCGCATGGCGTAGATTGTACCAAGAACTTTGCGCCGCCCCCCCCCCCCCCCTGTTAGTTGTGGTGCCTATATTCAGGGGAAAAGGTCAGCGCCTTTTCCAGTTTTCCTTGGTCTGCACCCTGCAGCGCTTTGTGGCATTTAGGTTTGTAAGAGGCCAAATTCTCCTTCGGTTACGGCCCCCTTTCCTGTAACCACATAGCTTGCGGATATATTTTTTCCCCTTCCATCATTACTTGTTTCAGTTTCCACTAAACGAAGTTCTTGTGCATGTGGATGAGTGAATGTTGAGTGAAGTCACGGGATAAATTTTGGTTTAGTGAAGTCCATTGGAAAAAGACAAGAAATATTTATGTGAATGTCCTACAGTAGTTTTTGTTAGAACTACTGCAAACTTGCTGAAGGGCGGGCCTGGTGCAAGCGGTAGAGTCTTACCGCCTGTGACCGGAAGGTCCTAGGTTCGAGTCGTGGTCTCCTCGCATTGCACAAGCGAGGGTAAGGCTTGCCACTGACACCCTTCCCCAGACCCCGCACAGAGCGGGAGCTCTCTGCACTGGGTACGCCTTTTTTTTATTGCAAACTCGCTGCAGACCTGCAGTATTTATTATTAGAACTATTGCAAAGACAACCAAAAGTAGTACTGCTATTGAGAAAAGAATGCAGGCAAAAACATACAAAAGCATAATAACAAGATAGTTTGGGTTGGAGAAAACTGAACTCCTGACACTGTCTCACGGAGCTGAAGAGAAGGCAGAGTTCAGTTTCCTACAACTCTTACCTTCAGAGCTAGATAATGAAATGTTTGGGTTGCGATCATGTGTTGCATCTGTTCTGATATTCTCTATCATGAGTAGTGCTTGTCCAGAAAAAAAAAGTTCTGAAAAACAGTTGTGCTTTCTAACAAACTCTGACCAGAAATAACCTTGCCGTGCCTTTTGTATTTCAGGCATGCTTCCTGCAACCCAGGCCTCAGATAAGATTTTCATCTGGTGTCAATGCTGAAGGTAAACATAACCAAATCCTAGACTGCTGCTATCTGATCTTTAAAATATGTCAACACAGGTGACACATTTTTTAACCAGTCAGGAACTCAGGAGCAATTTTTTTATGCCAACTGAGGAGCAAATTGACATGTTATTTTGCACACCTGGAAACTGATAGCTTTATTTTAAACTCTACTGATCAGTAGTCAGTAGTTCAGTACTCCTAGACATACAATTTAAACTCTACTGATCAGTAGTAGTCAGTAGTCAAGTGCGAAACTCGTTTTCTAAAAGGGCCAAGAAATAGATGTCATTGCAATTATTGTTTGACATACACTATATCCATCAGTGTTATTGTTTGACATACAATTTAATTTGCAAGAATTGATTTGTCTGGATCTCTCTTCCAGGCCAAGAATCCTTCGTTTAGAACTAGAAGTGACGTCGTGGTGTTCCATTACACCTCACTTGCAGTGTTGCAGAAAATGAATCAGACCACAGGCGACTTATCCAATTGGTTGTACAGTGTGTTTTTCTCTTCACTAACACCATCACTCTTAGCTCTGATGTCAATGTGCTGATTTTTCTGTAGTAACTTAGCTTTGATTGTGAACTGTAATAATAATTTTATGGTATGGTTAGTGCCTTCTAGACTTTTGGTCCCATTCGATTTTTTGGATACTTTTTCCTTGCGATGGTTTTGTAAATTGCGGCTGGATCTATCTTCATTGGGCCTTAAATAAAATGTTGAACTAGAAGGATATTTTTGTCTAAATTAGGCCTTAAATGAAATGTAAAGCGACTACAAACCTTTTTATATTATCTGTAAAATTTCAGTGTCATGAACTCGGGGAGTTGTTTGTTGAAATGCAGTAGACGAGGAGATTTATGAACACCCAGTGTCTGCACTTGTCTCAAATAACTATTAGATGAGGAATTGATTTATGAATATTTGGTGGTTTTGGGTTGATTGCTTCGAGTACAGTGCTCCTTGACCATGTTTTAGCAACTTAGAGTTGGCAGAAGTACTTGTACTATTTCCCCATATCCTTTACTGTAAAAGCTACTTCTTTCCTTGAGGATATTGTCTTGTATTCATGTCCGTAAAGGCATAAAACATACATTCTAGCTTGTCTTTGGTTTTCGGAAGATGTGTATGTTTGCCCGCTTGCTGATCTTTTTCAATGCTACTAATACAGTAAACATTGCAACTCGCTAGTGGTCATTTTTCTAAGTAAAAAATGTGTGCCTTATTATATTGTATACTACCTAGGGAGTATTAATATCTTATTTAATTATTTCCCTTTTTGCAGGGGTAGAATGTGCGTGCGTGCGCATCCATAGAGGTGAATGTGAATGTGCGCTCGTATATGTGAGTGTCTACTGGGTCTCGTAAAAAAAAGAAATGAAGCTTAGAAGGAGTGAAACTTTGAGCATGCATGGCTTTGTGTTCTTGTAATTTTGCTATTATAATCTCTATGCAAACCGCATATTGTTGCAGTGATTTTGTAATATAATTTGTGATTTTAAACAATTTAGTTATTCATTTGTAACTGATCAAGTAAGCAGGCAGGCATTAAGCAGTCAATGCGTTGCATGGACGCGTAGATTTCTAGCTACATCACTACGTGCCCGGTCGGCCCTCCCCTAACCATCCATCATACAGAGCGCAGAATAGAGATAAACTCCAGACAGCGAGCGCACAATCCAGACACAGTAAAAGGATTAGGCCCAAACATGATAAAAGGATCGTGCCCCAAGGGCCTAAAAGGGGCCAGGATTGGAGCAGGTTGTACTTTTAAATGGATAGAATTGTGGATCAGATTATAACTATTTAAGTATGGATTGGATTAGGATCGATCGCGATCCATTACCAGGCACCTGCCCCTCCTCAAAATAGACGTGCCGGCAAGCAGCTATAACACTACTTTTCAATCATAGAATAATACTTTCTTCTCACAACATTTCAGCATAAACATCAGTATAAGCCAGATTTCAGTATGTTGTTTACCTATGGCTTCTTCCTTCAGCTTGTTAATAACATGGTGACTGCTTCAGATAAGTTGCTATGCTGCGATACAGATTCATGAAGGGTGTTGGGGGATATTTAGGAGTGTCGATTACTCAGTAGGTATGCCAGTTTATTCCTATGAAGTACAGAACACTACTCGGCAAACTGATTTGATATGGTTCATTGCATTGATGGACTATCTTTGTCTTTAATAGCTCAATTCGTTCTTTGATATTTATCTGCTTGGCATATATACCTGTCCTCAAGAACATTATCAGTCAGTGAAAAAATTAGCCGGTCGATAACAACATAATCTTTACCTGGTAGAACAGAATATCTAATTGCCTCTTTGAATAGCTCACGCTTGAGCTCTCATGTTTATTTGGTTTCGAGGGAAATTAGGGTGCACATGGACCACAAGTTAAATCTAAAACAAGTGTGAACGTAAAGTTTTTTGAGATTGTCTAAAACTATTTCAAAGAATTTTGTGCTTCATATCAAAATTTAGTGTTTCTGGGTAATTATATGAATAAATAAAGATAACATTATCAAACTTCTTCTAAAGAGATTAATATTATGTATTTTTTACTTGAACATGTATATACTTGTATTGCTCAAGTTTTCTCGATAAAGGAAAAAATTTGGTATGTGGCTGTGCATATCTACTAGTAGGAAGAAAAACCTTATAAATATCATACACATTCTATAAATAAATATTTTGAGAATTACTTCTTAAAATCACAAAACTGAACAAAATGGTAACAAAAAAGTGATTTAGATTTAAGAACAATGGGCTTATTTACAGAAGAGGCATGTCCCCTGTATATGAGATCAATTTACAACTTAATCTAAGGCAGGCAAGCAAGATGATAGTGCAAAAGGGACATGTCCTCTCTCTATATATATTGTATGACAAAAGAATGAACAAACAACAAATAAGTATTCCCTCATTCGAAGTTGTCTCCCCACAGCTTACTGTTTATTTTCAGCTGTGAGCATATCATTTCCTTACAAGCCAAATAGACAACCATTTCTGGTACATTGGCAGAGGTCCGGGGCACACAAAACAATTAAATAGAAATCAAGAGTATATTTGGCCCTTACAACATTGGCATTACCAAATTGTTTCATACAGAGTTTCTTCACAGTAGTGTTTTTGGCCACTACCTGAAACTACTTGTTCGGTCTCATACAATGTTAGCATGCATCAGTAGAAACCAAAAATAATCCATTCAGCTAGTGAGACTTATGTAAAACATCAGATGAAAAATGTCATACTGATAAAAATGGTTGGACAAAAGGAAAATCTAATACTGTCAGAAATCACATTAGCTAACAAGTTCCACAAGAAGGACTAATTCAGAGAAGAAAACTGAAGCTAATGATAAACTTCACTACTTCAGCAAAATGCTAGGCAGAGAAACTAACAAACATGCACGTGAGGGCTCAAATTCAAACCCAACTCATAAATAACCACAACTTAAACTTGAACTATGTAAGAGCAGTCAGTGATCACTAGTGGTTCTCTTGCAAATGGAAAAGGCCTGCACAACTGCTAATGAGCATTGAGTTACAGTTCCACCATAGACCATACGCCTGAACCAGAGATGCTTAAATTACACTCTAGAGGGCACAATACCAGCACGAGCTGCAGCATAAGCATCTGCAAGGCCAGGAACAGAGTCCATGTGAGAGTCGATGAACTTTGATTTGAAAATCTCCTCTCCAGTATAACCTAATGAGGACAGGCTCATATTGCTATTCAGTAATCCCTTTTCCTGCAGGATCTTCATGACATAATGCCGGGGCACTAGTCGCTTCTCGAGGCTGTATGTAAGCAGGACAGGCTTTTCCACAATTGTCCATGGCTCCATCGCAGCCTCGTTGACTAGGAACTCAATCTTGCGGAGAAGATTTTTCTCAGACAATCCTAATATAACTGGCATCTTGGACACTGCAGTGGAAACCTCAGACTTCGAACAACCAAGAGTTCTCTTCAAGAACTCAAGTTTGGCAGCAACCTTCTCTTTGGAAATACAGACAACGACGTACACTGCATACTTGAATAGCCCCGAAGTGGGAGGCACCCCAAGTTGTTCCGCCCGTAGCAAAAACTCTTTCACGCGTTCCGGGTTGAAGTTAAGCAGCCGTGGGACCTTTGAACACAGCTGGGCAATATCTCGAACACCCCGATGACGCAGCAAAGCAATGTTAGGCTTGACTGACCTCTCAATGCTCGCGCTGAGGAGACGGCTATTCCTCCTTAGGACCACCAAGACCTGCTCAAACGAGCCATAGAAGGAGATGAAGAACTCGAGCTTGGGAACGACGCCGCTGCGGGTGCGAACATGTGGGCCGACCAGGAGGAAGCGAACGATTTGGGGAGGAGAAAGACCGACGCGGTCGCGGAGACCAAGAAGGCGGGGCGCGATCTTCTTTGCGTAAGCGCGGAGGAGCAGCGGGTCAGCGGAGACGACGGCGGCGATGTCGGCGCGGGAGAGGCCGGCGCCGGCGAGCAGGGCAATGATGGCATCGGGGTTGGAGGCCGAGTTGAGGCGGGAATAGGAGAGCTCATCCAATGGCCTCCTGGATCCTGTGGATAATAATTCGCGGGACAACTTCTTGGACACCTCGCAGGCCTGTGCTGGGGCGAGGCCGCAGGAGGCGACGAGGTAGTCCTCGACGGAGAAGGGCGCGGGGGAGGTGGAGGTGGAGAGGATGCAGCACGGGCGGGGGTGGATGGGGGCGGGCAGCGGTGATGCGACGCGGAGCAGAGCGGGCAGGCGATTTCGGAGGCGCAACATAGCGGCGGCGGAGGAGCGGCGACGGCGCGGGCGATGACAAGGCTCGTTGCCGCGATGGGAAAAAAAAGAGAGGATGCGAGACCGCGACTGCCAGGGCCAGCCAGCTGCCAGCTCTAGGGACGCTGGGTATAAGGCCGGAAAACCCCGCTCCGCCAGCCCAGCGCCTCAGCCCATTTGATGCGTAAGCTAGCTGCCTCCCGGGCTGTGGCGCAGTTGGTCGAACTGGAAATTCTGAACAAGGCCCACCTGCCCTTCCTCAAAATAGACGTCCGCACCGCGAGCCACATTCGCCGTGCCGGCAAGCTGCGTCGGCGTCGCGCCCGCTCGCCCGGCGGCCATACAACCACAGAACCGCCGCCGCGTCTGCCGTGGCCCGTGGCCGGTGGCCGGTGGCCGAAACCCCGTCGGCAGGATGAGCCGATCCGATCGGCGTGCAGGTCAAAGGGCACGCCAACACGACGCCTGGCGGGCGATCGAACCGGACGGGGGCGACAAGGCACGGAGGTTGAACGTCTGACCCGCCCCAATCGCCGGCAGCCGGTGATTTCAAACCGGCCACCCTGGTTTGTCAAACGGGGAGGGGTTCTCTACTCGCCGAAAAACACAAGCGCCGAAGCGCAGCAGAAAAACACAAGCGCCGAAGCGCGGCTACGGACGAGGCACGCACGAGGAGCGCCGAGAGCGACGGGACTCGGGGCGACGCCGACGCCCCCTGCCGTTTCGGACGGACGCTACGACCGTTTCGTCGTGAGCATGGCAAAACATCCATCCCCGGCAAAATATTCAGTGTGTTCTGCTTTGCTCTGCTCCTCCACGTGCTCGATAGGGAACGAGGTGGGGACGCGAACAGGACAAATGCTGCCTGCCCCCAGCGTATTTGAGTCACGCGCGTGCGAATTCAAGTGGCACACAAACTGCTACCGTAGAAACTCCTACAAAAATGATCTTTTTGTTAGAGAAAAAACGAGGCAATGCAAGAGTCAAAGAAGACGCGCCTGCCTCTGCCTGATGTTGGCATCAGTTCTATATACTTCCAGGAGTACTTCTGGACGGAGTGGTTTGGTTTTTGTTTGGAAACCTTAATCGGCAAGCAACAAACCGACGGATCCGCCGGTCAAACGGACACGACGAAAAACGGGCAGATTTCGCATGGCGTCTGAAAGCTTCCCCCGGTTGACCTTTGTGAGCACGAGTGGTCTGACTCTGACTGGCTGGCTGCTCCGAATTCAACTCGCTGCTGGCTGCTGCTACCACTACCAGGTGCTGACATGAAAGCTTTTTACCAGGGGCACACACGCGCGCACGCATTGACGGATCCAACACTGACCGGCATGGGTTTCCAACCGTGATGATGCCCAGCCCTGCTTTGTGTTGCAGTTGTGGAGCAGCTTTGCCTGCTTTGCTTCTTCTGGAACGGAAGGTACAGGTTGACATTGGCGAGTGAGTGGTATATCTGGTGGTGGTCGGTCGATGCTTCAAGGAACTGGTGAGAGATTAAAGTCAAAATGTACTTTGGGGCCGCCTCGAACTACGTAACCAGCTACCAGTGTACTAGTGTGTGGTTCAACCTCCGTCGGGTCCATCCATCGACTTACGCTGAAATTTGGTTTATGTCCCGTTTGGCTTATTTTATATTCGATTTGTTCGGCTTTTTTTTTTAAATTTAGCAATGATTTTTTTCTCTCACAACATTTCGAGATGTAATAAGATTTTTTCGCGCAAGTTTCAAAGCAGTTTCTAACATGGCCTCAGGGTGATTGTTTCTTAACAGAGTTTTGTGAGAGGAAAACACTATTCGTTTGCTGAAAAGTAGTTCAAGCGAACAAAGTGATTGTTTCTTAACAGAGTTTTGTCATATAAATCACCCTCTTAGTCTAGCCTTCGTTCAGCCAATCAAAATGGTTTATAACTTTCTCGAAAATATATGTGGATGGAGACTGGACATTGCTTTCTGTGTGGTTGATCTCCCTACATGGTTGATCGGCTCCAAGACATTTTCTGGACTTGTTTTAAAGTATGATCATGGTAGCATTTACATGTATCTCGTTGCTTTGCATTTGACGTAGTATCTTCTGATTTTTCTACCCCTGATTTCCTTTACCTTTATCATCATCTGGTTTTAGAGCTTGATGCATAGCTGTGATCCTAATTGTGGTGGCTAGATCACTAACAAAAAGTCAAAAGTTCGTCATAGTATGTCGCTCTTTAGCAATTGCGCAGCTAGCATATATAAGTTGTATGGATTGGCTAGTACAATAGTCGGGCTACGATTCCATGCTCACTTGAAGCGCAGGAGCTTGAATAGGTTTGGAATGAGAGTCTTGCGGATCTTGAAAAAACAATAGTGGCAGAGCAGGCGTAGCCATTATCAGAGGAGTAGAAGAGGTGTTACAGACTTCAAAAAAGTCTATATAACCCCCAACGTTTGGTATGATGTCTACTTCACTCTCTAAACTATAAAACCATGTATTCTACTCCTTAAACATCTTCAAACCATCTATTTAACCCCTTGAGGTGGTTTTGGACCTTGTTTTTGCTGACTTGCTGTCCATGCCGGCACACATTGACAACTTGGCACTCTGGACCAGGTGTCAGACCTCTCAGCCCCTCTGTATTCTTCGCTGGTATTTCATCGAACAGCTCGCGCGCGGTTGACACACCTAGCCTTAACTTCCTGCCGAGCTTGACGGTGTCCAGATAGAGCCCATGAGCAGCCATGGACGCCACACGGAAGAGAGCCTCCGTGCGCGGTAGGTCGCGCTCCTTGAGATGGCGGGCGACCATGGCGGCGGCGTCCAGGCCCGGTGCCTCGTCGAGCACGGCACGACACAAGTGGCCACAGTGCCGTGTTGTGGTTTGGGAACTTGGCTGTAGCCGACAGCATAGTGCAGCGCGGTGTCCATGATAGACTGCGAGCGGTGTTCTTCGTATATAGATAAACCGCGTTGAGCAAGCTGATCATCAGAAGAAAGGAAGCGAGCGTACGGCACTACAGCAGAGCTGCGCGTGCCCACCATGTCCCAGCACGGCAGCTTCGGGGCTTGGGGTCACCAGGTTACTGTACGCCACATCGTCGGCAAGAGAGTGTACCCACGTACAGCCACAAGCAGGAGAGTGCAAGGCCTCAGGTGTTGAGCGAGGTGCGGAGGCTGGTGGACACGTACAACGACGGGGAGCTCAGCATCACTGTGATGGGCCACAGCCTGCGCAGCGCTCGCCACGCTGAACACGTTCAACATCGCTGCCAACAGCTACAACGTGGCGTCGGTGACCGCGTTCGCGTGAGCTAGCCCGTGCATCGGCAGCTCGGGCTTCAAGAAGTGGTTCGATGTATCCTCGAGTTTTGGCTCCTTCACGTCCGCAACGCCCGCGACGTCGGCGTGCAGCTTGCGATTGCGACCGACATGGGGAAGTCGCCCTACCTGGAGACCTGAGCGGGAACAGACTTGGCACTACCTCGAGGTGTACCTGCACAGCATCGCGGACACGCAGGGAGCGGGTAGAGGCTTTGAGCTCGCCGTGGCGTGGGACATGGCGCTGGTGACCAAGGTGCACGACGCGCTGCTAGCAAGCTGGATGGATTGCGAGGAGGAAGAGAATGGTGAGTAGAGAGAGCAGACACAATAAACTCGATCTTGGCATGCTGGCAGTAGACAAAGATAGCCACGTCAGCAAAACCAGGTTCCAAAACCACCTCAAGGGGTTAAACAGACAGTTTGAAGACGTTCAAGAGGCAGAATACATGGTTTATAGCTCAGATGATGAAGTAGACACCATACCAAACGTGAGGATGTTATATAGAGTTCTTCCTTACAGACTTTGACCTATGAAGGTGAAACTTGGGGTTATATGCCGCATAGGAGGGGAGGGATTTAAATAGAGAAGTTAGTTCAAATTAATTATGCATAACTGATGCGAACAAGCACCGATGACCTTACATTTAGAACCAATTGCTCAAGTTTGCACCCGGTGCAAAGAAAATAAAAGCTATTTTTCGTTATGTAAATTGAAGTTTTTGTTTTTAAATATAACCTCTCATGTTTTTAATACGTGAAATTTTATAGTGCTTAGAATTTTTTTTAGCGTACTCAGACATGATGGTGGTGCTGAGCGGGTAGTCTCCGCTGATGCCGAAGCCGAGCCAACAGCGGAAGAAACAGAGCGTGGCCATGACGCCGGCGAGCGTGCTCCCGAACGAGAGCGCAGAGGCGAGGGAGCAAACCACCATGAGAATCAGCGTCATGCCGTAGACGCTCTTCTGGCCGAGCCTGTCGTCGAGCCAACCGAAGAAGAGTTGCCCAGCGAGCGTCCCGCACAGGGCGACGCCGTTCACCGCGGCCGCGATGTTGGGCGGCAGCGTGCCCGGGTCTGGCTTGGTGGGGTCGGTGTAGTAGACTCGGCCGAGCAGCTTGGTGACGAGCGAGATGCAGAAGAGGTCCTAGGCGTCGGTGAAGAAGGCCATGCCCGCACGGGAGGCAGCGAGATCTCGCGATGCTCGCAGTAGCGTTCGTGGAATCGGGGGAATTGGGTTAGGGAGTTAGATTGTGCACCGTGTATGGTAGGAAAAACTACTAAACTGCCCTGAATTATAGTTAATTAATTTTCTTAATTATTAAGACATGTACGGTAAATATTTTTGACGGGAGGAACCGGTGGTTCCTCCGAGCACCGTAACAAAGCTCTACATGGTTGCTACCACATCTCTAGTATAACAGAGAGTACTCCATTTGTATACTTTATATTCCAGGCGGTTGTAGGTTTTTAATTTTTTTAGCATAGAAAATGCTGAATTACAAAACATATTGACTCAAATTCAAACATGTGTTTATGCTCCCTGGTTTCAAAATTTTAATAACCGGTCCTGTTGCACATGTTCCACTCCTTAAATTGCATCCTATGTTCCACTCAATTCCTCTCAGTTCCTCCAAATTCCCATCCAAATTCTATTTTCAAGTGAACGTACTGCATTGTTTCGTACTGGAGGAACGGGTTGATCAGTT